TTTTTTTTTTTTACTTCAAATTCTCCTTTGTGTGGACTGATGAAGGCCACTGTGTGGCGAAACGTTTCCTCAATAAAGATTCCCTAAGAGTTGCAACATGTGACTAATTATTCATCATCTAGGTAGGTTAAGTTAGGTTAGGTTAAGTTAGGTTAGTTAGGTTAGTTAGGTTAGGTCAGTTTACGTTAGGTAACGTTAACGTTCGGTTACGTTACGATAGGTAAAATGAGGTTTAAGTTTAGTTAGGAAGTTAGGTTCGCTAAGTAGGTCATGTTACGTTAGATACGTTACGTTAGGTGTACGTTAGGTTACGTTAAATTCGTTAACGTTAATGAGGTTAAGGTTAGGTTTGGTTAGTGAGGTCAGTTACGTAGGTTACGTTTACGTTGGTTACGTTACTTTAGGTTACGTACGTTAGGTTACGTTTAAGTTACGTACTTAGGGAGAAGCTGGAGGTTAAGTTAGGTTAGGGTAAGTTTAGGTATAGGTTAAGAGTTAGGTTAGGTTAATTAGGTTAGGTTAAGTAGGGAAGTAAGTTAGGTTAGGTTAAGTTAGGGCAGGTTAAGTTTAGGTTAGGTTAAAGTTAGTGTAGTGTAACGTTAGGTTAGGTTAAGTTTAGGGGAGGTGTAAGTTAGTAAGTTAAGGTTAGGGTAGGTAAGTTTAGGTTAGTTTAGTAGGTTAGGTAAGTAGGGCAGTTAAGTTAGTTTAGGTTAAGTTAGGGTAGGTTAAGTTAGGTTAGGTTAAGTTAGGGGTAGGTTTAAGTTAGGGTAGGTTAAGTTTAGGGTAGGTTAAGTTAGGGTATGTTAAGTTAGGGTAGGTTAAGTTAGGTAAGTATGTTATTTAGGTTAAGTTAGGGTAGGTTAAGTTTGGTTTCGCTTGGCTCAAATCCAAATGTTTTCCAATAAGCAATTTGGTTATTATAACATGGTAGAATTACTTGAAACCAAGACTCTGCTAATACAAATATTAATAAAACCGCACTTAAAAAATTAACTTTTTTTTTTTTACCCACTTACGACAACAAACTGTCATTGTAAAACCCACATTATACGCTTTTACACTTATCATTATAATTTTACTATTATTACGCTTATTGTTTATTGCACTGTTATACACTGTTATATCTGTTATACACTGTTATACCTGTTACACACTGTTTATAATACACTGTTATACACTGTTATAGTACTGTGTAGACACTGTTATACACTGTTATACACTGTTATACACTGTTTTATACACGATATACACTGTTATACACGTTATATACTGTTATAACACTGTGTATACACTGTTTATACACTGTTATACCCCTGTTAACACACTGTTAAAACACTGTTTATACACTGTTATATACGTATATTCACTGTTATACATTTTAACACTGTTATAACACTGGTTATACACATGTTATACGCTGTTAAACACTGATATACCTGTTATATAACTGTTATACAACACTGTTATACACTGTTATACACTTAAATAATACAACTGTTATATACTGTTATACACTGTCTAAACACTGTTATACACTGTTTATACACTGTTATACACTGTTATTTACTGTTATAACAACAGTTATACACAGTTATACACTGGTATATACTGATATACACGTGTATAGCACTGTTAAATACACATGTTATACACAGATTATAACTCTGTTAACACTGTATATATACTGTTATACACTGTTATATACACTGTTTATACACTGTTATATACTGTTATACACTGTAAACACTGTTATACACTGTTATACCACTGTTATACACTGTTATACAACTGTTAAATACTGTTATACACTGTTAAACACCTAGTTATACACTGTATAACACTGGTATAACTGTTATACACTGATAACACTTTTATACACTGTTATACACTGTTTATACACAGTTATATACTGTGATACACTTTATGCACTGTTATACACTGTTATATAACTGTTATATACTGTTATACACTGTTATACAACTGTTATAACACTGCTATCACTGTTATATCTCTGTTATACACTGTTATACACGTTATATAACTGTTATACTCTGTTACACACTGTTATTACACTGTTTATATACGTTAAACACTGTTTAACACTGTTATACACTGTTATTACACTAGTTATAACCACACTCAGTTATACCACTGTTATATACTGTTATAGCACAGTTTATACACTGTTATACACTGTTTATACGACTGTTATACACGTTCTACACTGTTAGTAAATGTTATAAACACTGTTATGCACTGTTATGCACTGTTATATACTGTTTATATACTGTTATACACTGTTTATACACTGTTATACACTGTTATACCCTGTTATACACTGTTAAACACTGTTATATACTGTTATACACTGTTTACATCACTGTTGAGAACACTGTTATATCACTGTAATACACTGATAATACACTGTTTTTTTTATCTAAATCTTGAACCCCCACCCACCTTTTCTTTTTTCACTTTCAGCTTTCTACCTTTACAACAATTCCCAAACTCATCCACTAACCTTTGCAATTTTTTTTTAGAATCTCCCTAAGCACATATCATCAGAAAAAAGAACTGTGTCAATTCCCATTTTTATTTGTTTCCCCCAAAATTTTAATCCCCCCCTCCCCCCGAACACCCTGCATTTATTTCCTTTACAACCCCATCATAAATATTTTAAAACAACCAGGGTGACATTACAACCCCTGTCTAAAAACCTATTTTTTACCGGAAATAGTCTCCCCTCTTCTACACACCCTAACCTGAGCCTACTATCCTCTAAAAACTCTTTCGCTTTTTAATAACTTACCACCTTTTCCCAAAATTTACTTGCAACATCTGCCACATTGCTCCTCTATCCACTCTACATGCCTTTTCAAAATCCATAAATGCAATAAAAACTTCCCTACCTTTACTAAATACTTTTCACTATTCTTCAAGTAAACATTTTGATCACACATCCCCTACCCACTCTGAAACCTCCTTGCTCACCGCAATCCATTTTCTGTCTTACCTCTAATTTTTTTCAATTATAACCCTACCTACATTTTTCCCCTGTATACTCAGTAAGCATTCCCTAAATTTTTACGTCTCTTTTGTCCCCTTTCCCTTTTAAAAAAGGGACTAAATGTTTCCCCGCCAATCCCTGGGTACCTTCCCCTCTTTTATACATTTATTGAACAAAATACCAACCACTCCAACACTATATCCCCCCCTGCTTTTAACATTTTTTTCATGACCCATCTTCCACTGCTTTTACCCCCCCTTTCATTTACTAAGCCTCACGAAACCCCCCCACACTTACATTCTGCTTTTCTTTACTCCTAAAAAATGGTATACCTCCCTGCCCTGAGAAATTTCTGCCTCTGTTTCTTTCCTTAAAATTTTTAAAAATCCCCAAAATATTTTCGCCATCACCTAAACCTCCACTCCCCATCTACTAACTCCCTACTCTGTTTTTAACGACAAACCATATTTTTCCCCTTGCTTCTTTAAATTGTTTAACTCACTCCAAAATTTTTTTTTATTTTCATTTAAAAATTTTTGCAGGGGCCCCTCCCACTCTACATCCCCCTCTCCCTTTCACTCCCCACCCCTCTTTACCTTTCTTTACTCTCCATATTTCTGCCTTTTTATAACACCTGCTTTGTAAAAACCTCTCAAAACTACCTTTTTCTCTTTACACACCTTTCTTCATCATTCCACCAATCACTTTCCCCTTTCCTCCTGCACCCACCCTCCTATAAACCCAAACTCTGCCCCACATTTTAATACGCTTTTTTTAAAAATATTTTCCCAAACCCCCTTCAACCCCCCCATTTACTCATCTTTTCACACCCACCTTTCTCCAATATCGCTTATATCTCACCCGAACTTCCCCTCCTTATTTTACACTTTCACCTCCCTCTTACTTTTGTTGCCACCTTCCCTTTTTTCCCTCTACCTCTTACTCTAACGTACTACAAAAATAATACCAATACAGTTGCCCCCAAAAACATGTACACCTGGAGCCTCCCCAACCTTTTTTTCCACCAAAAATAACTAATAAAAACTTTCATTAGGTGCAGATAATCTGAAACAAGACAACAGTGCATAAGTGTTCGCAATAAAGCTAATAGAATCCTTGGCTTCTTTATAAAGAAGCATAAATAATAGGAGTCCTAGGTTGTTCTTCAACTCTATACATCCTTGGTTAGGCCTCATTTAGATTATGCTGCACAGCTTTGGTCACCTTATTACAGAATGGATATAAATTCTCTGGAAAATGTACAAAGGAGGATGACAAAGTTGATCCCATGTATCAGAAACCTTCCCCTATGAGGATAGACTAAGGGCCCTGAATCTGCACTCTCTAGAAAGACGTAGAATTAGGGGGGATATGATTGAGGTGTATAAATGGAAGACAGGAATAAATAAAGGGGATGTAAATAGTGTGCTGAAAATATCTAGCCTAGACAGGACTCGCAGCAATGGTTTTAAGTTGGAAAAAATTCAGATTCAGGAAGGATATAGGAAAGTACGGTTTGGTAATAGAGTTGTGGATGAGTGGAACAAACTCCCAAGTACCGTTATAGAGGCCAGAACGTTGTGTAGCTTTAAAAATAGGTTGGATAAATACATGAGTGGATGTGGGTGGGTGTGAGTTAGACCTGATAGCTTGTGCTACCAGGTCGGTTGCCGTGTTCCTCCCTTAAGTCAATGTGACCTGACCTGACTAGGTTGGGTGCATTGGCTTAAGCCGGTAGGAGACTTGGACCGGCCTCGCATGGGCCAGTAGGCCTTCTTCAGTGTTCCGTCGTTCTTATGTTCTTATAAACATCTTAGGTGAGGATCTACTGTACTAGTTATAGAATAGGTAAAAAAAAAAATGCTTATGAAGCTGTATTTATTTTACCGGAAATCTTTATTCATTGTTACAGACTTCTTTAATCTTTGAATATGGGAGACCATGCAGTGTTAGTTACCCTTTGTGGGGGTAAAAAAGAAAAATGAAATACAAAGAAAACTAACTGCTTTATGGTGTGTTCAACACCGTGTTGCCCAACACTAAACATAAAGGATCATTTGTACAGTATTTTATCTGCTCACCTGTAGTTCTTGGTCTTCCTTGTCAGCAGCACTAGCCGTGGTACTCCCAAATGGCTTGGCTGGACTGATAAGGTCTGGCAGCTCCTCCTCCTCTTTTTTTCCCTCACACACATTTAACTCAGATGACAAATTACGAACAGTTAGAGTTGCTTGCTTTGGAGTTCGAGGGGTTACACAGCTGTAGACACAAATGCTTAAAAATACTTTGCAAGAGAAAGTGAAGCAAAAGAGAACAAAGTACCAAAAAGAAATATTGGTAAAAAAAAAAATATATAAGTAGGGCAATTTAATAAGACAATGTTCACCACTACTCCTTCTCTAGTGGCATTTCCAAAAAAGTATACTGTTATTTTTTTTTTTATTATCACACTGGCCGATTCCCACCAAGGCAGGGTGGCCCGAAAAAGAAAAACTTTCACCATCATTCACTCCATCACTGTCTTGCCAGAAGGGTGCTTTACACTACAGTTTTTAAACTGCAACATTAACCCACAACCTTACTACCCCACCTTCAGAATGCAGTAACTGTACTAACTGGTTTATGAAACTCAAGTCCAATTAGCTAATTTCCCCAGTCCCTTTATAGATATGACCTTGTTCAAATTATGTTAAAACCATGGGCCACTTGCCTCCGGTTTAACTTAGTATACTTTAAATCTTTTAACCCTTTTGGTGCATATTTTTTTTTTCCTCACACTAGCAGTTTCCTAATGAAACTGGACAACCACTCATAAAAAAAAAGCACACACTCATCTCACCTTCATTCATTTTTTTTTTTTTTACTCTATCTTGGTGGGAGATGGCAGGTGTTAAAGAAATTATGAGCGATATGGGTACAGACTTCTTATTCTTTTTAGTAATTATTGGCAGTTTGGAGGGATATGTTGTGTATCTTTATACGTATATGCTTCTAAGCTGTTGTATTCTGAGCACCTCTGCAAAAGCAGTGATAATGTGTGAGTGTGGTGAAAGTGTTGAATGATGATGAAAGTATTTTCTTTTTGGGGATTTTCTTTCTTTTTTGGGTCACCCTGCCTCGGTGGGAGACGGCCGACTTGTTGAAAAAAAAAAAATTGTTCCCGGCATTTTAGTTGACTTTTACAACACGCATGGCTTACAGAGAAAAGATCCTTATTCCACTTCCCCATGGATATAAAAGGAAAAGTAATAAGAACAAGAACTACGATAAAATCAAAGAAAACTCAGATGAATGTGTATAAATAAACGTGTACATGTATCTTTAGTGTGACCTAAGTGTAAGTAGAGTAGCAAGACATACCTGTAATCTTGCATATTTATGAGACAGACAAAAGACACCAGCAATCCTACCATCATGTAAAACAATTACAGGCTTTCATTTTACACTCACTTGGCAGGATGGTAGTACCTCCCTGGGTGGTTGCAGTCTACCAAAAGTATAGTAGTACCAACACTCTTATATGGGTGTGAAGCTTGGGTTGTAAATGCTGCAGTGAGGAGGTGGTTGGAGGCAGTGGAGATGTCCTGTCTAAGGGTAATGTGTGGTGTAAATATTATGCAGAAAATTCAGTGTGTGGAAATTAGGAGAAGGTGTGGAGTTAATAAAAGTATTAGTCACAGGGCTGAAGAGGGTTTGTTGAGGTGGTTTGGTCATTTAGAGAATGGATCAAAGTAGAATGACATGGAGAGCGTATAAATCTGTAGGAAGGAAGGCGGGGTAGGGGTCATCCTCGAAAAGGTTGGAGGGACGGGGTAAAGGTGTTGTGGGTGAGGGGTTTGGACTTCAGCAAGCGTGCGTGAGCATGTTAGATAGGAGTGAATGGAGACGAATGGTATTTGGGACCGGACGAGCTTTTGGAGTGTGAGCAGGGTAATATTTAGTGAAGGGATTCAGGGAAACCGGTTATTTTATATAACCGGACTTGATTCCTGGATATTGGAAGTACAATGCCTGCACTCTAAAGGAGGGGTTTGGGATATTGGCAGTTTGGAGGGATATATTGTGTATTTTTATACGTATATACTACTTCTAAACTGTTGTATTCTGGGCACCTCTGCAAAAACAGTGATTATGTGTGAGGTGAAAGTGTTGAATGGTGATGAAAGTGTTTTCTTTTTGGGGATTTTCTTTCATTTTTGGGTCACCCTGCCTTGGTGGTAGACGGTACAGACTGTAGTGTGTATGTGTAGTTCATTGTTACACAAAGGGGTAAGACTATACCAAAAATTTTGCCAATATTCAATTTTAGGCCAATACCAATAGTTTCTAAATTGGCTGATAGCCAATGACATTGATACCATCAAAACCAGCTGATACAAACTAATACAGATGTCCAAGTTTAGGCTGATACCATCAAAATTACCCAATACTTACTTACCCACTCTGGCACACCCACTACCACACATTATGAATTATATATATAATTCATGTATTTTACATTCTATTCCAGTATTCTAATTAATGGTCCAGGAAAAGAAAGGGATATGTAATGTATATTAACATTCTGAAAAGGAATAAATGAAGAGGTGGCTAGCAACCAAAATATCTGTTTATTTATTGCATTCATAAACAAAAAAAATTGTATCATTATAGTCAAAAAGAAGCACTAAATCTACTAGGGTCATAAAAAAATGTAGTAGTTTAGAATTCTATATATAAGGCTTGAGAAATCTACACGATATGGGAACTAAAATGCAAGTAAATAAAAAAAGCGAAGATTAACTTTTTTTTTTTAACACGTTGGCCATTTCCCACTGAGACAGGGTGACCGAAAAAGAAAGACAAACCCAAAAAAAAAGAAAGAAAAAACTTTCATCATCATTCAACACTTTTACCATCACTCGTACATAATCACTGTCTTTGCACAGGTGCTCAGAGTAACTTTTTCTGGTTCATAAAAATACCTGGGATGTGCAATACCATACCTGCCAAACTTTGGATGCCAATGTTTGGGGCCACACCCATCACTGGTCATGTAAGAGTCCAAGTTAATCCAACGATTGATTTGTACACGCGATGACATTTTCACACTTTCACGTTGTTCTGGCTTGTACTCATATCGCTTCAGCTGGATGATAAGTACCCTGGAAAAATTGCATGTTAATACTGTAGTGATAAAATAATTACTATATATCAATGTGATCACATGTACAATTAATGAGCTGTAATAACTTTCATGACATACAGTGATGAGCTAAATTCTCACCTTGGCAAACTGGTTATTGAAGTAACAACAGAGGACTGAGTGTGGCCACACTTCTCACATTTTAATTCCCGCTCATCTGCACTCATATATGAAGAAATAGCATCCTGAATAGATTCCTGGCCTTCTTCAGGAAGATTCACATAAAGGCCAAAATATTCTTGTCTTCTCCCCTCTACTTCACCACACCTGCAGATAAATAAAATACTTGAATTATCCGATTAAAAAATTGCTAATTAGTGATATTCAAAATTTTGAAGTTAATTTAGAAAGCCAAAAAAAAAAAAAAAAAAGGGGGGGGGGGTAAAAAAATACAATAAAACATTATAGCTTAAACTAGTGTCATAGCTGGGATTTTGACACAGCAATATTGGGTAAATTAAGATGTGAAAATATTCAGCATTAAATCTCATTTTACTAAAATTATATAAATGGCATATTCAACTATTTAGTCTTCATCAAACATTACACAATTTATAAATTAGTGTATAAAAATACCAAGATTATGAAAAAAATGGTTATCACTGACAAGAACTCATGATGTACTATTTCTAAGAATGTTTAAAAGCTTACCCTAAACATCTGTAAGACTCGAACAACTGAAACTCAAAGTTATCCTTTACAGGATTTCTAGGCAAAACTTCTTCCTCACAGCTTTTCATGGGCGTATAATCTTGACTATGAACTGGTAACTTTGAATCGACTTCCTCACTTCCTGTTAGTCTTTCAACACTGATATCTGTTAATGTACATTTGCTATTTTCAACTTCTTTGTCCATTACCTTACAATTATCTTTTGCCTTATTCATCTTAGTCAAGTCTTCACAATCAGTGATAATTTCACTATCCATGATATCATTAATGTCTTTTGAATCTTTTGAAGATTCTAAGGAATCAGGAAAATCAAAAATATTTTGACCACTACCACCACAGAGGGACACATCTTCATCAAGATCATTCTTAGCTGCAGAGACTAACGAGTGAGAGCTCAAAGGACGGTCTGGGCTAGGGGTGGTCATGTGGCACCGGTCAATTTCATCCTTCATGGTATCTAGCACACGAGTCAGGAACTCATTTGCATCTTGCATTTTGAAACCAGAAAATGATCCATCAACTCGCTCCAGATTCTCCTTAACAGTCCTAATGTAAAGAAGAATATACTGTTGTAACTTTCATAATATATTTGAATAGATAAAATAGATTTCATACAAAATAAATAACAGATCTGCAAGTCACACAAACTGTCATAATCACTAAAAATTTTAATAATTTCAATGATCCTTTAAAAACTATTAGCAAATCATCTTCAAAGAAAATCTCTTAGATATTTTCAAATTTACACAATACATTTCTCTATTAAACTGTGACCAATCTAGTTTTATATATCATCCTGTAATACAAAACATTTCAGTTAATTTTTTTACTTACTCAAACAGTGGTACCTCGGGATACGAACAGCTCAAAACTCAAACAATTATGTAAGTGTATTTTTGTAAATGCTTTTGTAAGTGTATTTTTGGGGGTCTGAAACGGATTAATCTAATTTACATTATTCCTTATGAGAACAAATTAGTTCGGTATCGGCACTCGAACAGCCTTCTGGAGCAAATTAATTTCATATCCCGAGGTACCACTGTATAACATTCACTGATTTCTTAAATATTTGCCATTCATCACGTCAATTTACATTCGTAATAAACGTGTTTCTCCCAGGAATACTTTCTTCAAAGAAAAAGGTTTCCCTTGTTTTATATAGATTTTCTATTACAGAATATCCTATTTCTATCAGTGATTCAATACATACAATATTCATTCTCCATAAGTGATTGGTATAGTTCACACAGTGAAGATTTTAATTAATCAAAACTTTTCATGGTCACATCTTGGTACTATAACTATTGACTATATGAAAATCATTAAAGTCTTTCATGAACAAAAAACATCAGTAGATATGAATTATGCTTAAGTGATGTGCTGATGGTTACAAGTAGCATTTGTAGTTTTTTGGAGGCTTGTCATGCTTCATTATTTAGGATTATACTTGTGTCTTATTCACTCTAATGTTGTAATATTGGTATGTTAGAAATTGGCCTATAGTTTATATAAATGAGATTCTCACCTTTCATGGAAGCAAATGTGCAGTTTTCTTGAATATATATATTAAGGGGGTTTCATTTTAAATGTCTGCTTTATTTTTTTTAATTTTACTATTGTGGTGGTTAACGCTCTGGCTTCACACGGTGAGGGCCTGGGTTCGATTCCCAGCCAGAGTAGAAACATTGGACGTGTTTCTTTCCACCTGTTGTCTATGTTCCCCATCAGTAAAATGGGTACCTGGGTGTTAGTGGACTGGTGTGGGTCGCATCCTGGGACACTGACCTAAGGAGGCCTGGTCACAGACCGGGCCGCGGGGGCGTTGACCCCCGGAACTCTCTCCAGATAAACTCCAGTTTACTTCATGGGTTACTGGAGACAGGCATGATGGATTACACCAGTTGCATGCAATATAATTTCCAGTGTGATTGGGTTAATATTTTGAGAGCTAGTTTTAACCCTGGGATTGGGATGATGTAAAATTTAGTTTATGTAGTTAGGGCAAAAGTTTCATCTTATTTAAAAATAAATGTATATTATAATTTTTATCTAAGGATCTGAGGGCTTTCCTTGTCTTTTTTTAACTCCATTTTTGTTGCATGAAATCAACTATTATTAGAGTCATTTAGATTTCTTAACTAGACTAAGCAAATTTGTCCAAAACATGAAGAAATAATTAGCTACCTGATAATATATAGTCTAGCCATGTTTACTGCCAATGGTCTGTTAACTCAACAATTATAATACTGTATGTATCATAACTAGTAAAAACTTTTCACTCACTTGAGTGACTGCTTAACTCCGGAGACTTGACCTTTCATCCGGGAGGACAAGACTTGACTGAGGCCAAACGAGAGTGATGTATGAGGCATGCCAAGCTGAGAGGCGACAACCTGGAAGTCACTCAAGAAAGATGGTAAACTGAACAGTGACTGTATGACTGAATTCAAGTAGCACGTGTTGCCATAGTTGGGAAATCTGAAAAGTACAAGGATTTATTTTATTTGCTGCTGAAAATTAAAATATGAATAACCACAATGCCCATTCAACATTTTTCTCTTGCATACATAGGCATTTTTTTAATTTCGATTAAAATTATATACAATACATATACCTTTGCTATTTTAAAATTAAAGAACTAACAGTAATTAAAAAATTCTACAGGGGTTATCACAAAACAAATTTAAATATTGTATCTTGTCAAATACATAATACAAGCTCTTTTTTTTTGTATGATTAAATACCAAGACAGGTAGAAAATTTAATATAAGGTGGTGTAATTATCTTTTTTCTGTTAGTGGTTCTAAGGATTATCTTCCCCACAACCAGGTCTCAAACCAGGGTTGAAAAGGAAATACTGCATGATTTTAAGAACTATTAAGAACGCAGAAATGTAAATGTACGAAAAAGTTTGTAAGATTGACCTGTCATCTTGCATGTCCATGAGACAGAAGAAAAGAACAAAGCAATTCTGCTGAGTGCAAAAAAATTTAACATACAGTGGACCCCTAAGTTTCACGATTAATCCGCTCCCAAGAGTCCGCTGAAAGGCAAAATTCACAACTGGCGAATCCATTTTCCCCATAAGAAATAACGGAAATCCAATTAATCCATTCCAGACCAAAAGTATTAACAAAAAATATTTTTTTACATTAAATATAGATTTACAGTACATACAAAAAACAATGAGACATCAAGTATACAACAATAAAAACATCACACTTACCTTTATTGAAGACTCTTGTTGGTGTATGAATAAAATGTCACTATGAATGTTAGGAATTGTGGCGGTGGCAGAAGTGTCTTCGGAGACAGGACATGAAAGTCCTTCAATATGACACTAATATCTACTCTACTAATCATCGAGTATGACATAATAAACAATATTAATAACATAGAAACAAGACATATACTCTAGAATGAATAAAATATCAATACGTAGGTCACAAGTGCTGTTGACTTGTGTGTTGTTGGGTGTATAAGGGCCACTGAAAAATAAGTCTTACATAGCAGTGGTGAATGGCGGCAGTAGAGACGGCGGTGTTAGTCAGTCACCCTATATACCTCAAACAACAATGGAGTAATTAAGTTTCGTGTCGTCATTTTTCTATCGATTAATGGCTTAACTTACTTGCTACACTTTATCACTGGCTGGCACTATAGCCCTCATCGACTCCTGCTGCTTTAGTATCATAACATATCATAGAATCACTGAAGAAGGCACATTCTCCCCTCTCTCTCAGTCCTTTACCAAAGGGCTTTCTTTGGGCCCATGGTGGTTTATTTAGCAGTTGCAAGCACAAAAACGAATGGAATATATCATATGAATGTGTGAAGTGATGGTCACTCGCCCATAAACAATGCCACACCGACTATGGTGTGGGAGGGAAGCTGGCTTTGTTTGTGGGCTGACGCTAGTAGAAGGGCTGGATGCGTACCTTACTGCTGCCGAATCACAAATAAAATCATGAACTGTGAGTCTATTTTTTGCCAAAAAAAAGGCGCTGAAAGGCAAAATTCATGAAACACAATGCCACTGAAACTCGGGGGTCCACTGTACTACAGTACATACTTATATTTCTATTTCTCCTATTTAGCAAGATAGTAGTACCTACACAAATAACCCGCACATAAAAGAGAGAAGCTCACGACGACGTTTCGGTCCGACTTGGACCTCCTTGTATGGTTGCTACTACCAACCCATTACCTTTTAGAAGGCTTTATAAAGAAAGCAATAGTAGCAATGATATGCACCACATTTTTTTAATTAAACCGAATGGATCTTAACCCTTTCAGGGTCAAGAGGCCCTCTCCTAAACTTGTTCACAGGGTTGAAAATTTTTTGGAAAAAAAAAAATTATTTTGTCTTATGAAATAATAGAGAATCTTTTCCTAATCATAATGACACCAAAAGTATGGAATTTGATTGAAAACTTACGGAATCATGCTCTCGCGAAGTTTGTGGTCTCAACGACGTTTACGCAATGGTGATTTCGCCCAATTTGAGCCCTATTTTCCTCCAATTCCAGTGTACTAGTCGACAAAAATCATATCTATTTCGCTAGAACTATTTTTTCTATCAAATGAGTACAAGAAACCACCCATTTACCACTTTCAACTATCCAATAAAGTGGTCAGATATTGGCAATTTTGCCAATTTCACACAAATTTCAGAAGATGCCAATTTCCAAATAGGGTCCAGAATAAACAAGACAGATGTTCCTGGCACTAAAATAGCATTTTCTCTGTTCATTAGTTACGTCCCCAAGCCCTTGTTACATCTCTTTTGCTTTCCACTTTGAATTTTTATTCCCACAAAAAATAGAAGATTTACTGCTATGCAGACTACTGCATTAGTGTAGAAATGGTATAAATAATATCAGCGCACTTGTGAAAGAATATTAGACTCACCAGTTGATGTTTATTGGACGCTTGGCATGATTTGTTTACTTTTGAAGTTTGGTAAAAATTTAACATTTCTACTACTTTGAGCTCAATTTCAAGGTACTTTTCATTATGACCATTCCATAAAATGAGACCAGGAAAACTAAAATACAACCATAAATGCCATACGAAAATACACTGCAAAGTCGCTGTTTTAAATCAAAAACACGGTCTGAGTTTTTTTTCTCATTACGCAATGTGTGCTGCAGGATTTTTTTTATACTGTGCACACTGACCACATTGACCCATTCTTTCATATGTAGGCCTACCAGCTTTCTTCACAAGATTTGAAGGCGCTAGAATTTAGGTGTACTAGTACGTCAATAACCCTGGTGCATAAGCCGTACTAGTACGTCGGAAACCCTGAAAGGGTTAATGCCATACTGTTGACACATGCCAGAACAAATTTTTATTGGGAGTGTTCTACTATGTGCATAGCTGATTTTAGCTCTTCTGTTCATTTTTCCATTTGCTGCAGTTCCATATGCTTATTTTTTTATGTGCCTTCATGTTCCTCTTTGCTTCTCTACACTCCTGGTTGAACTTTATGAATATCTTTGCTATAATTCATATCAAGGGTTGAGCTGTACAGGTTATATACCATATTAGTGTCACAAACAATGCCGATTGGTAACATTTTAAGCTATAATATTTCTAAGATTAACATTAAAGAAATCTCTTGCATGTAGCTGCCCCATAACTATCCCTTTCTCCAGCTTCAGGCCTTCATTAATAAAAAATGAAAAGATATAAAATTCAACTCTGAATAGGAAAATTTGCATAACTACACACAAAGCTATAAATATTCAAAACCTGATGACCAAAGAAAATCAATGCCATTATAAGACATAATTCAAAACTAGCACAGAGAAAAATGAACTACTAAAATTAGGAAGCTGTATATTTCAGCCTTGGAGACCCTCTTAAGTCTTCACAATTTATTTCAATTGGCTCAATGTGGGTTTTGAACCAAGAGTTTATGAAACTTTGAATGGCAGTGATCTCACTAAAGTTCCCAAGTCACTATTATTATTATAATCAAGGTGGAGCGCTAAACCGGTAGGATTATGCAGTGCCTGTGGAGGAGGGGGATTTGGAAGATATTCAGGCTTAATTCAGGGAACTGGAGTACAGATCTAATTCCCTATATCAAGAGCCCCTCACCAGCATCAAGGAACCTTCCTTGAGGGGCACCATAGGTCACCAATCAGTCAAGATGAATCTGATATTTTCCTACTAGCTAAAAGTTCTCCCATGTGTGAATATAGTTTCATTGTAGGTAGTACTAACTTAATATAACTTAATTTAGCCTAAACCCAAATTACATTGGTGGATAGCTTGTGCTTATGCTTTAACCCTTTGACTGTTGCAAGCCCCTTTCTGTAACTGTCATTCTATGTCGCAAAATTTTTGGAAAAAAAAAAAATTATCTTTTATGAAATGATAGAGAATCTTTTCCCAATGGTAATGACACCAAAAGTACGAAATTTGGTCAAAAACTCACGGAATTACGCTCCCGCGAAGTTAGTGGTCTCGGCGACATATACGCATCGGCAATTTCACCGACTTTGAGCCCTGTTTTTGACCATTCCGTTGTTCCAGTTGACCAAACTCATAGCTATTTCTTTAGAACTCCATTTTTTCTAACAGTTGAGTACAAGAAACCACCCATTTACCAATTTGAAGTACCCAATAAAGTGGTCAGAAATTGGCAATTTGGCCAATTTTGCATAAAATAAAAAAAATGCCAATTTCAAAATAGGGTCCAGAATAAACAATGTAGACATTCTTGGCACTAAAATAACATATCCTCTGTTCGTTAGTCACGTCTCTAGGTCCCTCTTATATTACTATTGCTTTCTATTTTGTTTTATTCATACAAAAAATACAAAATTTACTGTTATGCAGACTACTGCATTATTGTAAAAATGGTATAAATAATATCAGTGCACTAGTGAAAGAATATTAGAATCCCCAATTGACATGTATAGGACATGTGGTGTGATTTGCTTACTCCTGAACATTGGCAAAAATCAAACATTTCCGCTACTTTGAGCTCAATTTCAAGGTCGTTTTTCATCGAGAAAGTAATCAAAATCATCTCTATTTCTGTAACATGTTTTCCATTTTATCATGTGAGACCATGAAAACAAGAATACAACGATAAATACTATACGAAAATACACCTCAAAGTCGCCGTTTTAATACAAACAAACGGTTAGTTTTTTTTCTCATTATGTGTGCTGCAGGATTTTTTTGTGGTGCACACTGAGCACACAGATCCATTCTCTCACATGTGGGCCTACCAGCTTTCTCCTGCTTGATTTGAAGCCGCTAGAATTTATACGTTTAAATACGTCAGAAACAGTGGCGCGTAAGACGTATATATACGACTGAAACAGTCAAAGGGTTAACAAGCCACTCAACCTGCCACCTGACACTTGTTTTAATACCTTGGTGACTTCGCTGTATACTGACATTTAGGTATCCACAGGGAATATGTTCCAAGACCTACCATGGATAGCAGTGAACCCTACATATGTCACTTTTCGTTTACATACATACCTATGATAAAGCTTAATTGACAAATTACACACAATAAGTAGAGAATTAGCACTTTTTCATTAATGGGAAGAACTTCACAGCTTCTCTTAGGCTTTGAAGAACTGCCACCATCACTACTACTGCGCTTAAAGGCCATTATTAAGCCACAGTAAACAGTGGATAACTGAAACCACAGAAACCGAACCCATTGATATGGGGGTTCTATTGTAGTTTGCCTCTACTATAAGAAACTTGTATTTGGACATATTTGAATATCACTTTTGCTTACCCTATGAGATGTGGAGAAGTCACTTCTATGACAGATGGTTCAGCTTTAATCACTGTTGGTATATTCTCTTTTTCTGCTCCAGACAGATGTTTGGGCCCATATGCTTTTTCAACTTTCTCTGGAGATACGTCACATAAAAGTCTCGATCTAGACAAGTTCACAGTTTTCTTTTTGTTCGTGTATACTTTGACTGAACTTTGCTTGGGAGGTCCAAAAAGGGAGTTTTCCTTGTCTGAAGTTTTGTTCTTCCTATCATATATTTCACCATCACTATCAGAGAAAACATTGCTAGCATCTTTAGAATTACTAGATGCGTTCTTAGTCTCAAATGCTTCAGAATCACTATCTGATAATACACTGTAAGGATCTACTGAACTCTCTACAGAATTTACAGCGCTAAATGGCCGCTTAACAGCTTGAGATGACCCATCTTTTTTTAGCCATTTCCCCAAGTTTGATCCCTCATCAGGTTTTGTTTGAGGCTTCGATGCATTATTTACAATTCTGTCAGCTCTTGAAAATTTGCTTTGCAGACTTATTCTGGGAGGGGTTCCAAGTGATGACCTAGTTGTACTAGCATTTCCAGTTCGTTTCTTGAATCTACTCATGTAGCTCCGTCCACCAGTTGAGTATGGGTTTGCACGCAAAGGACCTAGAAAAATAATTTTGTTACCAGTTTGCCAAAAGTTACAATTCAAAGATATTACTTTGGTATCACTTCCAATTAAACTTTATTATAGTCATTATTCAAAAATTTAGTATTCTGCATACATTTGCTCTGAGGGAGAACTGCTCATTTTGGAGAAAAGACAAGAATATATTAATGAAAGGAAGCAGCTCAGTAATTTGAATAAGAGAATCACTACAAACTAGACAGATTCAAAACACAAATTATGTTGAAATTATAATAGTAGAAATATAAAACAAAGATGTAAAACTTATATACTGTTGGAATTATAAATACAGTATTGTACAGTACTCACAAACTCCCTTTCAACAACACACATTAGATTATTATTATTATTATTTTTTTCAACAAGTCGGCCGTCTCCCACCGAGGCAGGGTGACCCAAAAAGAAAGAAAATCCCCAAAAAGAAAACACTTTCATCATCATTCAACACTTTAACCTCACTCACACATAATCACTGTTTTTGCAGAGGTGCCCAGAATACAACAGCTTAGAAGTATATACGTATAAAAATGCACAATATATCCCTCCAAACTGCCAATATCCCAAACCCCTTCTTTAAGAGTGCAGGCATTGTACTTCCCATTTCCAGGACTCAAGTCCGGTTATATAAAATAACCGGTTTCCCTGAATCCCTTCACTAAATATTGCCCTGCTTACACTCCAAAAGCTCGTCAGGTCCCAAATACTATTCGTCTCCATTCACTCCTATCTAATACGCTCACGCACGCTTGCTGGAAGTCCAAACCCCTCGCCCACAACACCTCCTTTACCCCCTCCCTCCAACCTTTTCGAGGACGATCCCTACCCTGCCTTCCTTCCCCTACAGATTTATACACTCTCCATGTCATTCTACTTTGATCCATTCTCTCTAAATGACCAAACCACCTCAACAAACCCTCTTCAGCCCTCTGGCTAATACTTTTATTAACTCCACACATTCTCCTAACTTCCACACTCCGAATTTTCTGCATAATATTTACACCATACACTGCCCTTAGACAGGACATCTCCACTGCCTCCAACCGCCTCCTCGCTGCAACATTTACAACCCAAGCTTCACACCCATATAAAGAGTGTTGGTACTACTATACTTTCATACATTCCCTTTGCCTCCATAGATAACATTTTTTGCCTCCACATATACCTAAATGCACCACTCACCTTTTTTCCTTCATCAATACTATGATTAACCTCATCCTTCATAAATCCATCCGCTGACACGTCAACTCCCAAATATCTGAAAACATTCACTTCTTCCATACTCCTCCCCAATTTGATATCCAATTTTTCTTTATCTAAATCATTTGATACTCTCATTACCTTACTCTTTTCTATGTTCACTTTCAACTTTCTACCTTTACACACATTCTCAAACTCATCCACTAACCTTTGCAATTTTTCTTTAGAATCTCCCATAAGCACAGTATCATCCGCAAAAAGTAATTGTGTCACTTCCCATTTTGTGCTTAATTCCCCATAATTTAATCCCACCCCTCTCCCAAACACCCTAGAACTTGCTTCTTTTACAACCCCATCTATAAATATATTAAACAACCATGGTGACATTACAAATCCCTGTCTAAGACCTACTTTTACCAGGAAATAGTCTCCCTCTCTTCTACACACCCTAACCTGAGCCTCACTATCCTCATAAAAGCTCTTTACAGCATTTAGTAACTTACCACCTTTTCCATATACAGTGGACCCCCGCTTAACGATCACCTCCCAATGCGACCAGTTATGTAAGTGTATTTATGTAAGTGCGTTTGTACGTGTATGTTTGGGGGTCTGAAATGGACTAATCTACTTCACAATATTCCTTATGGGAACAAATTCGGTCAGTACTGGCACCTGAACATACTTCTGGAATGAAAAAATATCGTTAACCGGGGGTCCTCTGTACTTGCAACATCTGCCACATTGCTTCCCTATCCACTCTATCATATGCCTTTTCTAAATCCATAAATGCAATAAAAACTTCCCTACCTTTATCCAAATACTGTTCACATATATGCTTCAATGTAAACACTTGATCTACACATCCCCTACCCCCTCCCTGCTCATCCGCAATCCTACATTCTGTCTTACCTCTAATTCTTTCAATAATAACCCTACCGTACACTTTTCCTGGTATACTCAGTAAACTTATTCCTCTATAATTTTTATAATCTCTTATTATTATTATTATTATTATATTAAAAACAATACTACAATAGATAAGAAACAGTCTAACACAATAAACAAGGGACTAGCTACATTATAAGGCAATGATAATAGAAAAGTGATCATAAAATGTTTACTATAATTGTAATCAGTAATTTCACTAGTTAGCCATTGAGGCAGGAATGGCAAATAACCAATGCTATCTGGTCGAATTATGACAAAAATAATGGTTATTTACCCGAGCCGTAGCTAGGTTGCTTCCTGGGAGTAAATTCCATCTCTGAAAGCTGAAAGAAGAAATAACATTATTAGAATACTAATACAACTGAATGGACTATCACAGAAGATAAAGCACAGAATAATAGATGCCCTTCAACATAAACAACATTGTTTATACAGTACTGAATACTGTGTGAGAATGCAAGTGAGCTAAGTAAGTTACGTGAGCCAAGTCATCAATTGGTCAGAGGTCTCTGATATTTTCCTGTCAAAGATTATGAGGAGAACTAAACCTGTATGGGTCATACAGCACCTGTGGAAATGAGAGCAATTGTGTTAGATCCAAGGAAGGAGAGACCAGATTCAATTCCTTGGATCAAGAGCTCCTCACCAACATTAAGGAACCTCCCTTGACCAACTGAAGAGAAACAGTAACCTGCCTTGGAGACCTAAGGATTGGGCTTGGACAAATTCTCCCATAAAAAATATAAATTTATTAAGACTAACAGCAAGCACTGAACTGTTCTATGCACGTACCTCTGGCAAGAGTGATACTGTGAATGACGGTGGAAGTGTTTCGTTCTCGGGTCACCCTGTCTCAGTGGGAGATAGCCAATGTGACTGTATTTACCTGCCTGTGGTGCATTGATATAAAATTCGCTTTTGAGGTCAGAACATAAAAGGGAATGAAACAGCCTGAAACCATGCTTGAGGCTCACTGATGTACCCAGGCTGGGAAGAAAAATGGCTTGTAAACAAGGCTGCCAAGCTTTTGAGCCATCTGTGGCTGAGTGGTCTAGAGCGTAGCTTAAGGAACCTTGCCAGCCTCCCTGACATGGCTGCAAATCCTGCTGACTGTGATCTTTCTCTGCATATATTATATATATTATACTCTATGGGGAAACAAAGATGAATCCTTCCTCCATAAGCCATGCATGTTGTAAAACACACACACACACATGAAGTGAAGTTGATGAGAAGAATTCATTCGATCGAAGACCAGGCAGAACTACAAAGGGATCTGGACAGGCTGAAGACCTGGTCCAGCAATTGGCTCCTGGAGTTCAACCCCACAAAGTGCAAAGTCATGAAGATTGGGGAAGGGCAAAGAAGACCGCAGACGGAGTACAGTCTGGGGGGCCAGAGACTGCAGGCCTCGCTCTGGGAGAGGGATCTTAGGATGAGTATAACACCAGGCGCATCTCCTGAAGTGCACATCGACCAAATAAATGCTGCAGCATATGGGAACCTAGCAAACCTCAGAACAGCATTCCGACATCTTAATAAGAAATCGTTCAGGACCCTGTACACCGTGTACGTTAGGCCCATATTGGAGTATGTGGCACCAGTTTGGAACCCGCACCTAGCCAAGCACGTAAAGAAACTAGAGAAAGTGCAAAGGTTTGCAACAAGACTAGTCCCAAAGCTAAGAGGTATATCCTACGAGGAGAGGTTAAGGGAAACCAACCTAACGACACTGGAGGACATGAGAGATAGGGGGGACATGATAACGACATACAAAATACTGAGAGGAATTGACAAGGTGACAAAGATAGGATGTTCAGAGATGGGAACAGCAACAAGGGACACAGTTGGAGAGTGCAAGACACGATGGGAATCACAGGGATGTTAGGAAGTATTTCTTCAGCCACAGGGAAGTCAGGAAGTGGAATAGTTTGGGAAGCATGTAGCGGAGGCAGGATCCTACAATAGCTTAAGCAGAGTATGTTTAAAGCTCCAGTTCAGGGAGAGTGACCTAGTAGCGTACCAGTGAAGAGGAGGGGCCAGGGACTTGGACTCGACCCCTGCAACCTAACTAGGTGGAGTACAACACTACACAACAACTACAGTAGCAGTGTCAAGTGAAGAGCAGGGCCTAGGAGCTAAGTTGGACTGCAATACAATTAGGTGGGTACGTATAACACAACACACACAACACAGACGACACACACAGGTGACACACAAACGTGTTTGTGGCGCACCAGTCTGAACCCACACTGGGGCAAGCACGTTCAAGAAGCTAGAGAAAGTAACAAAGGTTTGCAACTAATGTCTTCCCGAGTCAGGGAATGTCAGAGGGAAAGTTTAAGGGAAATCGATGACGACTGGAGGACAGAAGGTCAGGGGAGCACATAACAACATCAGATACTGCGGGAATAGACAAGGTGGACAGAGATAGGATGTTCAGAGAGGGACCGGACAAGGGGTCACAACTGGAAGCTGAAGACAGACGAGTCACAGGGAGCGTTAGGAAGTATTTCTTGTCATAACGTTGTCAGCAAGTGAATACCTAGCAAGTGAAGTAGTGAGGCAGAACCATACATCAGTTTTAAAAGAGGTATGACAAGCTCAGGAACAGAGACGAGAGAGACCCAGTAGCGATCAGTGAAGAGGCGGGGCCAGGAGCTGAGTCTTGACCCCTGCAACCACAATTCGGTGAGTACAATTCCTAGAAGTACCCGTACTCATATACAACAGGCCTAGTGTCTAATCGACATGTGCCTAGGACAAAATGGTAACTAACACACATACACACATGCACACAAGCACACACACACAACGCACACATGCACACACACACACACGCACACACATGCACACACACAACCATGCATGCACACCACACACACGCACACACCCACACACACATCCATGCACACACACACGCACATGTGCACAACATATGCACATGTGCACAACATATGCACATGTGCACACACACACACAAGCATTCACACGCACACACACACACACACGCATGCACACACACACACACACACACCACACACACACACACAGAGTGGAACATCAATATTCGTAAGTCCCTACATTCATACAACTTATATTCCCCCAACTATTTTGAGAAAAATTTAACTTGGTATTCGGATGCTGCCTGATATCCAACCTAAATAAAATGGTCCATCTGGACAAAGTCTGAAGAAACCAAAGCATCACACACCCAGTCTCTCATCAATTTTCACTCGTTAAGCATCCTTCGTACAAGCTCTGTGAAACTTTTTGGTATTTCATTGTTGTTTTGTGATGTTTTAAATATTTTCTTCAAAAATAACTAAAGCAGTGAGAACAACATTTAAAGTGAAAAATGAACTCAGTGTGAAGTTGGAAAGTGGAATACATGTGTTGGACTTGCCTACTCAATATAGTAATGGTGAAATGCACAATATCGTCCATAAAGAGGCAATAAAAGGGGTGAAAATTCTTGCTGTGAAAAATGAAGAAATGGAAAAACTTTTATCAGTGTGGATTAACAAAAAACAATTGGCCGGCCAGTGACAGTGTTCCTGTAACAATAATTTGTGAAAAAGCAAAGCAGTTAAATAGTGATATTAGGTGAGCCACCCTGGGAAAAAATGCTGAAAGTGATGAATTTAAGGCAAGTAGGGGTTGATTTGATCGGTTTAAAAAGATGAGTGGGATTCATAGTGTAGTAAGGCATGGAGAGGTTGCCAGTGCTAACAGAGATGAGGCTGAAAAGTTTGTTAAGGAATTTAAAACCTAAGTAGACACTGAGAGATTTATTAATCAACAAGTTTTCAATTGTGATGAAACCATGCCTAAGAGACCCTACATCACACAAGAAAAAAAATCATTACCAGGACACAAGCCCATGAGAGACAGACTAACACTCTCATTGTGTGGTAATGCTAGTGGGGACTGCAAAATTAAACTGTTGCTAGTCTACCACTCTGAAAATCCAAGGGTGTTTAAGAAAAAAATGTAATAAAAAGTAAACTCAGTGTAATGTGGAGGGCTAATAATAAAGTTTGGGTAACAAGGCAGTTTTTTACTGAGTAGATACATGAAGTGTGCCCCAAGTGTGAAAAAAAAATTACCATTAACCCTTTCAGGGTTTCGGCTGTACTAGTATGGCTTACGAGCCAGGGTTTTTGACGTACTAGTACGCCTAAATTCTAGCGCCCTAAAATCTAGTGAGAGAAAGCTGGTAAGCCTACATATGAAAGAATGGGTCTATGTGGTCAGTGTGCGCGGTATAAAAAAAATCCTGCAGCACACAGTGCGTAATGAGAAAAAAAAACCTTGACCGTGTTTTTGGATTAAAACAGCGACTTGGCACTGTATTTTCGTATGGTATTTATTGTTGTATTCTAGTTTTCCTGGTCTCATTTTATAGAATGGAAGACATTACAGAAATTGAGATGATTTTGACTGGTTTTACAAAGAAAAGTACCTTGAAATTGAGCTCAAAGTAGCAGAAATGTTCGATTTTTACCAAAGTTCAAAAGTAAACAAATCATGCTATGCATCCAATACACGTCAACTGGTGAGTCTAATATTCTTTCACAAGTGCGCTGATATTATTTATACCATTTCTACACCAATGCAGTAGTCTGCATAACAGTAAATCTTCTATTTTTTTGTGAGAATAAAAATTCAAAGTGGAAAGCAAAAGAATGTAAGAGGGGCCTGGGGATGTGACTAATGAACAGAGGGAATGTTATTTTAGTGCCAGGAATGTCTTTCTTGTTTATTCTGGACCCTATTTGGAGATTGGCATCTTTTGAAATTTGTGTGAAACTGGCAAAATTGCTAAATTCTGACCACTGTATTGGATAGTTGAAATCGGTAAATGGGTGGTTTCTTGTACACATTCGATAGAAAAAATGAAGTTCTAGTGAAGTAGTTATGATTTTTGTCGACAAGTACACTGGAATTGGAGGAAAATAGGGCTCAATGTGGGCAAAATCGCCAATGCGTAAACATCGTCAAGACCGCTAACTTTGCAAGAGCATAATTCCGTAAGTTTTCCATCAAATTTCATACTTTTAGTGTCATTATGATCGGGAAAAGATTCTCTATCTTTTCATAAGAAAAAAAATTTTTTTTTTTTTTTTTGAAATTTGGCTAACCCTGAGAACAAGTCTCTGAGAGGGCCTGTCGAACCTGAAAGGGTTAAGGGCACTTCTGGTAATGAACAATGCTCCTACTCACCCTCCAGGCTTGGAGGAAAATTTGGTGGATGAATACAGCTTCATTAAGTGAAGTTCTTGCCCCCTAATGCCACCATTCTTATCCAACCCAAGAACCAGCAGGTAATTTCAAATTTTAAGAAATTCTACATAAAACCAGTTTAAAAAGTGCTTAATGACCTCTGAAACAAAGTTTACCCTTAGGGAATTTTGGAAAAAACATTTTAATATCCTCCAGTGATTTAGGATAACAGACAAAGCCTGGGGAAAAGTTTCTTTCAGGACAATGAACACTGCCTGGAAGAAATTGTGGCCAGACTGTGTCAGTCAGATTTCGAAGGCTTTGAAGCAAAACACAAATAACCCGCACATAGGAGAGGGAGCTTATGAAGACATTTCAGTTCGACTTGGACCATTTACAAAGTCATGCTTACAAAAAGAAGAGGAGGAGGCGAGTATACATAGGCCAGCAGACAGAGACGGGACAAAAGAGGTAGTAGGAAAGGAAGAGGAGAGGTAGTAGAGTAGAATAGATGAGTAGAAGAGTAGCAGTAGTATAGAGGAGTCAGTCTGACTGATTCCACTATACTACTACCTCTACCACAACTTCTCTTCCTTTCCTACTACCTCTCTTGTCCTGTCCCTGTCTGCTGGCCTATGTATATTCCCTCCTTCTCTCCTTTTTGTTAGTGTGACTTTGTAAATGGTCCAAGTCTGACCAAAATGTCATCATAAGCTCCTCTCTCTTATGTGCAGGTTATTTGTGTATTGTTCCAGTCACGGTATTGTGCCTTTTTATTATTTATGCTCTGAAACAAAGCCTATAGTGAAGTTCTCTGGGCAAGTCCATGGGTTTGGAAATAGACAATGAGGAGGTGGAAGATCACAAGAATGAGCTCACCACAGAACTTCAAGACCTGCACAAGGAGCAGTAAGAAGTGGTTGAAAAAATTTCTTCTTCAGAGGTGGGAGCAGTAAGTGCAACATTTCCACTACAGAAATTAAGGAAATATGTTACCATTGGGCTCAAACACAGAGCCTGGTGGGAAAATGGCATCTTAACATTACTGTTGTGAATAGGAGCATCAACTTCTTCAATGACAATGTTGTTGACCAGTTTACAAAAAATTTCAAGTCATCAAAAGCAAACAACAGTGGACACCTTCTTCAGCAAAGAGAAATGGCTTGGACATACTGTAGGCATGTGTGAGTGTGTTAGACAGGAGTGGAGACAAATGATTTTGAGGAATTGACAAGTTGTAGGAGTGTGATCAGGGTAATATTTTGTTAAGTGATTCAGGGAAACCAGTTAGCTGGATTTGAATCTTGGAGGTGGGAGGTACAATGCCTATACTTTAAAGGAAGGGTTTTAGATATTTGCTGTTTGGAGTGGCATCTGAACTGTTGTACCTTTGTGCCTCTGCAAAGACAGTGATATGTGTGAATGATGGTGAAAGAGTTTCTTTTTTTAAGGTCACCCTCCCTCGGTGGGAGATGGCCAGCATGTTAAAATATAAATATAATATAAATGTCGTGCCGAATAGGTAAAACTTGCAGTTTTGGTTTAACCCTTAAATGGTCCAAACAGATCAACGTTCAAATTCGTAGTGCTACAAAAGTAGATCTGTAAAGTAAAAGGACACAAGTGCAACTAATGTGACATTTATTGTGGCAACGTTTCGCTCTCCAGGAGCTTTATCAAGCTCCTGGAGAGCGAAACGTTGCCACAATAAATGTCACATTAGTTGCACTTGTGTCCTTTTACTTTACATATTGTCGGTAATTCTACCAACTTTATTACAAAAGTAGATCTACTTTTTTTTACATATTTTCAAATATAACAAAAAGAAAATGTAGATAAAAGTTTTTTTACATGTTTTCACATGTAAAACAAAAAAAAAGATCTACATTTTTTACATACTTTCAGATGTTGAAAAAAACGTATATATACGTTTGGACCATTTAAGGGTTAAATAGCAACATTCTTTTTGCTGAATAAGAGAAGCAAAAATTTACGTATGCAGTAATTTCACAAAAATCATTCTGAACCTAATGAAAAAAATATATTTCACTGTGTTTGTTTATTATTAAATTATTGTAAACTTATCTAAAATATATTTAGTTGGATTAGACTAAATTAACTGCGATTATAATAAGTTTAAGTAAGTTTTCTAAGGTTCTTTTGGTACAAAATTATTAATTCTTACATTAACATAAATGAAAAAAAAACATATCTTTAAAAGTATAAGAGAAAATTTTAGAAAGGACTTAATTTTAAATGAGTTCTTGCTAAATGGCCAATTTTACCTATTTAGCATGGCACACACACACACCATATATATAAAGCACATTATAATACATACAAAAATTAAAAATCAACATATAAATCAAATTATATATAAAACATCCTGTACTCAGGTTATAATTGTTAATTATACTGTCAATTAATTTTAATTAATTTTTAAAGGACAAATTCTGTACATACGTTTTTAAAGAACAAATTCAGTACATATGTTAAGTAATTATAGTTCATTATCTCTTGAATTAGCTAGTAGTCATGGGTAAGCGCTAAATCCGCAGGGATCATACAACACCTTCCCCCCCATCCCATAGGCCACGTCCTTGTGAAACTCTCCCAGCTGTTATACATTTACTCGGTCATCTTTCAAACCTGACAAACGTAACTTACATAAATAAGCAAATCTGATGTCTCAGAGCAGTTTGATTCCCTCCATCACCACCAACTGCACCGCTGAGATCAAAATTACACACATGGAGGTTTCTTTCCCAAAAGAGGCACCAGAAGCCCATTTGGCTCAACTCACATTGTGATAGTTTTCCAGAGGTGAATATAACCACGGAAAGTATAGTAAGTGCTCCCACGTTGCCTTTTAAACACGATTTTTGTAGACAAGGAGCCATTAAACGCCCTTCAAGCCACACAACTCTGCTTGCGTAACAATGACGTAGGTAGCCAGCAATTAAATGGCTCCTCCAGCCACACATACAGCCAAACAGGACGACCATCTTGCTCAACAAGCTCCTCCACACCTCCATCATGCCAGCACTAACCTGTAATGATCCTCAGAGGGAGAACTTCATGGTGAAAACTAGCGAAGAGAAGCGGCCACTGCCAGTTGCTCGCAGCATCCAGTGTGGGGCAGAAAGCGCGGGAAATGCGTACTCATGTTGTGAGGGACTTCCTGCTCACCCTCCCCTACCCTCACCCTCCCCTCACCCTCCCTACCCTCACCCTCACCCTCCCTACCTCACCCACCCTACTACCCTCCCCTACCCTCACCCCCACTCCCTCACCCTCCCTACCCTCACCTTCCTACCCTCACCCTCCTACCCTACCCTCCCTACCCTATCCCCCTACCCTCTCCCTCCCTTACCCTCACCCTCCACTACATCTCCCTACCTTAACCCTCCCCTACCCTCACCCTCCCCTACCTAACTCTCACCCTCCCCTACCATCACCCTCCCCAACTTCTCCTCACCCTCCACCAACACTCCCACCCTCTCTCTCTCCTAACGCTCTCCTACCCCCACCGTCTCCATCACCCTTCCCTACCCTAACTTCCCTCAATCTAACCCTATCCCTCACCCTCCCTCTCACCTGTCTCTACCCTCCTTCTCCCTAATCCTTCCCTACCTATCTCTCACCTCCCCAACACTCCCACCTCTCTCTCTCCTAACACTCTACCCCACCCTCTCCATGACCTCACTGTCCCTCACCCTCATCCTCTCCTCATACCTACCCTCCCATACGCTCCTCTACCATTCCACCCTCTTCCTAACGCTCCCCTATCCTCACTATCCCTCACCCTAAAGCTCCCCTACCCTTCCACCCTCTTCCTAACGCTCCCCTACCATTCCTCTCTCCTTTACCTTCCCACCTTCTCCCCTCACTAACGCTCCCCAACCCTCCCCTACTCTCAATCCCTAACCCTCCCTTCATCACCCTGCTTGCTAGATTTTAAAATTCCTGGGAAGAAACTTTTGTCCTGGATTCTTTCCATTGGTAAAGGAGTGAGTTTTTATTAGGATTCAAGAGCCAAGAGAACAGAGGCGTCGCTAGAGTTGGTGTCACCCGGGGCAGCATCTTTAGTGTCACCCCCATGAAATTCAAGGACTTTGCAAAAGCATTTGACAAATGCGATCATGGCGTAATAGCTCATAAAATACATGCTAAAGGAATAACTGGGAAAGTGGGGAGATGGATCTTCAACTTCCTAACAAATCGAACACAAAGAGTAGTGGTCAACAGAGTTAAATCGGAGGCTGCCATAGTGAAGAGCTCTGTTCCACAAGGCACAGTACTCGCCCCCATCTTATTCCTCATCCTCATATCAGACATATACAGAGATATACGCCACAGCACCGTATCATCCTTTGCGGATGATACTAGGATCTGCATGAGGCTGTCATCTGCTGAGGACGCGGTTAACCTTCAAGAAGATATAAACAAAGTTTTCCAGTGGGCAACGGTAAACAATATGATGTTCAATGAGGACAAATTCCAACTACTCCGTTATGGAAAACTGGAGGAGATAATAACTAGAACAGAGTATACTACAGACTCTGGCCATACAATAGAGCGGAAAAATAATATAAGGGACCTGGGAGTAGTAATGTCTGAGGATCTCACTTTCAAGGATCACAACAGTGCCACGATCGCACGTGCAAAGAAAATGATAGGATGGATAATGAGAAAATTCAAAACGAGAGATGCCAAGCCAATGATGATCCTTTTCAAATCACTTGTTCTCTCTAGGCTGGAATACTGCTGTACATTACTGAGAGGAATCGACAAGGTGGACAGAGACAGAATGTTCCAGAGATGGGACACAGCAACAATGGGACACAGTTGGAAGTTGAAGACTCAGATGAACCACAGGGATGTTAGGAAGTATTTCTCCAGTCACAGAGTAGTCAGGAAGTGGAACAGTTTGGGAAGCGATGTAGTGGAGGCAGGATTCATTCATGGATTTAAGAAGAGGCATGATGAAGCTCACGGAGCGGGAAGAGTGACCAGGTAGCGGCCGGTTGAAGAGGCGGGGCCAGGAGCTGTGAATCGACCCTCGCAACCACAACTAGGTGAGTACACACAAGAGCATTCAGGACACTATGTACCAGGATGTCAGTGAGTTTATTTAGGTACAGGTACACATAAGTACAATTATCATACATTGTGTAAATTACCTAGGATAACCCAAGGAAAGTCAAAGTGACTTATTCCTTCAGGCTCGTCTTGGAGTATGCAGAGCCAGTATGGAACCCACATCTGATAAAACGTAAACAAGTGGAAAAAGGTACAAAGATTTGTTACGAAACTAGTTGGAGCTGAGGAGGTATGACCTATGAGAATAGACCAGAGCTAAACTTAACGACAATGGAAGACCAGAGGTGCCATGATTAAGACGTACAAGATACTGAGAAGAATTGACATGTTAGACAAGAACAGTCTGAGAGGGGGATCTCAGGTACACGAGGGACAGCTGGAAGTTAAGGACACAGATTATTCATAGGGATGTTAGGAAATATTTCTTTAGATTTAGAGTAGTCAGGGAGGAAAGGGAACGTGGTCTGGCTGGCAAAGCTCTCGCTTCATACGCTGACTGTCCGGGTTTGATTCCCGGCAGGGGTGAAAACATTCGACGCATTTCCTTACACCTGTTGTCCTGTTCACCTAGCAAGTAGGTACCTGGGTGTTAGTCGATTGATGTGGGTCGCATCCTGGGGGGCAAGATTGAGGACCCCAATGGAAATAAGACAGACAGTCCTTCGATGAAGCACTGACTTTCTTGGGTTATCCTGGGTGGTTAACCCTCTAGGGTTAAAAATCTTATCTTAAAGGATAAGTATGATAGGGCTCAAGCATCCAGGAGGGTTAACTCAATGGAGAGGAGGGACCAGGAGCTGAGTCTCGACCCCTTCCTCTCCCTCACCCTACCTCCCTCCCCGACACCCTTCCTTGCATCCTCCCTCTTTCCATCCCCCTAACCCTAACCCTTCCATACCCTCTCTCCCTCCATACCGCCATACAATAGAGCGGAAAAATAATGTAAGGGACCTGGGAGTAGTAATTATGGAAAACTTTCTAGGGTGTTTATCTGTATGTACCTCAACATTATATACATACAAGTAATCTCATTGGGAGACAACCATATCGTTTACCGTAGTCACCCCGTGTAGACATGTGAGAAAACTTAACCACCTCTGGTCACTACAGGTGGCCCCTTCGACCTCACAATCTTATCCATATCTATCCGAGACCAGTATGGATTGGGTAGCACACACAAGTACGGTGCTACTAGTTAATTGTGGACTGTATAGAATATATTAGTTTAGCTGAATGAAGGGGAGGGGGGTAGGATACACCTGGATACATCCATCAAGGAAAACATTTGTACATAATCCCACCACTTACCAGATGTTCTCTGGTGGTCACTTGATGTAGCTGGATCACTCATAACCTATCTAATTATAACATAACACAACTGGCCAGCATAAGTTTGTTATAACTAGAAGGGTTACTTAACTGTGGGTGATTGATACTCCCTATTTCTTCCATTCACCATCTCAGTTTCGATGTCCTGCTACACCGACACGGTTCTCATTCCGGCAGGACGAGGTATCCGTCGGTTTGTCCCGGTTAAAAGTCGTGATTCCATAAATCTCCATTATCCCCGGTACGAGAGTCACACGTTCACTCGGAGCAAGGCGCTCTATTTCACATCCCGCATTCTCTTAACTCAATGTTATTATCACTGATTACATTACCATTCACAAGACGATTTAACGTCTCATAACTATTACACAAATTAGAGGTCACTCCATTAAGATCTGAGGCCGATGAGCGAGGATTAACACACGGGTATGTCCCCTGGACACACACCCTGGCCGTGCACCTGACACCCGGTCCTACTCTTATCACACATTTTACCACTCTATTACCGTGGTCCCGTAAATCACGTTCCCTCACTCTCCACCAGGAACAGTTACGACACTTCTTATTATGAAATGAGGCCTATATTAATCCTTAGGCCGCCGTGAATGCCAATTTCGTGGTTCAATGCTTTCTCAGCTTCCTCACCACATTCAAAACAATCCGCGCCTCTCCCCCCCGCACATCCGCGCATGCGCAAAGGGAACTCTTGGTTCTACTCTTATTTTCAAATACATTTTTGACCCATATAGACACATCAAACACCTATTAGGCACCATAGTTTCGGAAAATTAAAAAATTTTCCACAGTAATGTCTGAGGATCTCACTTTCAAGGATCACAACAGTGCCACGATCACAAGTGCAAAGAAAATGATATGATGGATAATGAGAACGTTCAAAACGAGAGATGCCAAGACAATGATGATCCTTTTCAAATCACTCCAGGTAAACTTGTTCTCTCTAGGCTGGAATACTGCTGTACATTAACATCTCCATTCAAAACAGGTGAAATCGCAGATCTAGAGAGTGTACAGAGATCCTTTACTGCACGTATAAGTTCTGTCAAGCGCCTTAACTACTGGGAACGCTTGGAAGCACTTGACTTGTACTCGTTGGAACGCAGGAGGGAGAGAGATATCATAATCTACACTTGGAAAATCCTGGAAGGAATGGTCCCGAATCTGCACACACAAATCACTCCCTACGAAAGTAAAAGACTGGGCAGGCGATGCAAAATACCCCCAATTAAAAGTAGGGGCGCCATTGGTACACTAAGAGAAAACACCATAAGTGTCCGGGGCCCAAGACTGTTCAACAGCCTCCCATCAAGCATTAGGGGAATTACCAATAAACCCCTGGCTGCCTTCAAGAGAGAGCTGGAGAGATATCTAAAGTCAGTGCCGGATCAGCCGGGCTGTGGCTCGTACGTTGGACTGTGTGCGACCAGTAGTAACAGCCTGGTTGATCAGGCCCTGATCCACCGGGAGGCCTGGTCTTGGACCGGGCCGCGGGGGCGTTGATCCCCGGAATAGCCTCCAGGTAACCTCCCCTACCC